GGGGGGGGGGGGGGGGGGGGGGGTCCATCGTGCCTAGTTTTCACTTATGCCCAATGATTTTCTATTAGCATGCATACAAGAGGATCAATGAATAAAAGACAACAGATATTAGTTCAATATGATCAAGAGAGGAGAGATCTCTTACCTGTCCATCTGCTATTGGCAAGTGATGGAAGTAATGAACTGCACCGGAAGACTTAGTGTCTTTCATAACAAGTAGAATTCGTACCATAGTGTTTTTCAAGCATACTGAGAATCTTTCGTCAACGATCCAGGGCATCAAAACCCAAGAAACATAGTGACCCATGAGTGTTAAGTGAAACCAAAACCTCATGAGGAAGAACCAGTTCCATGCTTAGCATCTAGGTAAAACAACCAAAGCATAAAATTAACACACATTACGTCACCTGAGCATAGCTTGACCCGTTTAGGCATGTACCATAGACTAGAAGGATAAAGGTTCGAATCTCACCATGTTGAAGTAAAATAATAATAATAATAATAATAATAATAATCCATCATTCTAAAAATCCAGAAAATACTTCCTCCACTTAATAAAAATACTCAAAGTTCTCTCTCATTCGTTCATATGGAGGGAACCCTCAAATTAGAGGGATGTAACTTCACAGGAGGGTGCCCTCCTAGGTCTTTTTCATCCTAAAAGGAGAAAAAAAGGAGTTATCCTAAAAGAAAGGATCTTTGGCATTCTCTCCTACACCGGAAGCTTCTTCTCCAAGATGGAGTTTCCTCTTGGGAAGAAAACTCGTTGAGAGTATTTTCTTTCTTCATTGGGGCAGCATTTTATCATCAAGAGATGCTTTCGTATTTTGACATCAAAGCTATTAGGTAATAAAGTAAACAAAGAACCCTGGCACTCAAAACTGAGGATTATGGACTCACAAACACCTACAAGTAGTCTTCTAAGAGATCGACCTACATCACACTTTGATATAAACTAATTTACATCATTTGATCAAGCAAAGTTAATTCCCAAACTTCTAAATTTCTTTTTCTTCATTATTTGTTGTGTTGTTAATGAAAACCGAGTGAAATTGATGTCCTTTGATTTTCATTAAGGGGAAACACTAAATGTCAGTATGATGTTCCGATCAATACTCAATAAGAAGCATGAAATTTCACCAGTCAAATTCACTAATTCTTGATATTGTGGTCTACACTTGAAACTGACAACTTTAGCGATTAATCGCGGTCAACAGTACAACAAGAAAGAATTGTTAATCTGATACATCGTATTACACACACACACACAGAAAAAAGGTAAAGGCTTCTTTTAAATGATAGATAACTTTTAATTTAATAATCAATAAAATAGATAAAATAAAATAAAAAAACGGATTATGAAGAATATAGTCACAAATTATTAAATATGAGCACAAACTCTGAAAAGAATCAGAACAAGTCTTCAGGTTAAGTATCTTGACGCATGTGCAAAACCCCACAACTGCAAGAAACACAAAAGCTTATGTAAAGAGGTATAGTGGAATAAGGCGTGTGCATCGCTATACTGTGTCACAGAAAGCACATGATATAATGACAGGTGACTTATAGAGCAACGGTACCTCTGATTGAATTTTGCAATATTTTAAAATGATGGATCTATCATCCATTCAATTGGTGGATATTCAATGCATAAGCCTTGAACGTTTGGGAATTTAATTTTACCTCAACATTCTTTAGCTCAAACTCTAGGTCATGCGCCAAGCATACGCTATCAAATGTGTCACATGGCCCACTTGTTCCACTTAATCTTGTTACGTGAAAAAAAGAAAAAAGAAAAAAAAAAGAACAATTTAGTAAATTCTCCCATAGAACAAGAGTGGTAGGAAAAAGTTCCAAAGAAAAACAAACTCACAAGTCACCATCCAAACGCAAGGCAAAGCTACCACCGCCACCAAGTGCTAGTAAATCGTTCAAGCAAATATAATAATAGCGGTTGGCTCCTGAATCAGTGCACAGATAAAAAAAAAAAAAAAAAAAAGAACAGAATTATGGCCTCTTTAAAGGAGATTTGCTGGGAAGAGATAGGAGAGTCTTGTTTTTCAATGGTAAACAAAAATGAAGTTACAAAAGCAAAAGCCAAAAACCAAAGAGCGTCTGAAAAAATTTACTCAGAGAAAATTTAAGAACAGTAATTACAAGTTAACTCAAAAAATCAACTACTCAACGGAGCATGACAAGCCCACTTGGAGCCAAACTAACTCAAAAAATCTCCAAACATTTGTCCTAGGTTTTCAAGAAAAGTAACGCATCCATAAAATATGATTCAAATCGTTTGACACTTATTTTTAGAGAATCCCAAACGATGCCAAACACCATAGATAACGTCCTTTAGACAAAGTTGATGTTAATTCTCCCATGAGCGGGATGAGAGATCTTCTAATGGATTCAAATTTACAAGAAAAACTCATTGGGACTTCAAAAGAGATAAATATGACTCACTATATCCCAAGTGAAGATAAACTCCTTGCAAAGGGTAAAACTAGGACATATCATCAATGTCTCCTTGTCAGAAAAGTCTCCTCAGATGAAAATACAAGGAGGAAGCCCTCCAACAAAGGAAATAAAGAAGAAATATTATGCTTCTTTTGTGGTAGAAATATAGTAAGCACAAGGGAAAACGAACAGTGAAGACCATGAATTTCCACAAGACATTCAATTGATATATTCATATCTACCCACAGACAAAGGAAAACGCGTATAAATGAGATAAATTGATTATAAGCTGACTAATATATCATAATTTAGTGTTGACTGAAGAGAACTTTAAAAATTATAGACATGAGCAATAAATAATACAGGATTGATATATTTAACAGCATGACTGTGAATCCTCTAAGAAAAAACACGTGTGGCAGGCAAAAACAGAATATTCACCAGTTGCTCGAAAGAGCCTTGGGTCGCCATATTTCGTTGTAAAAACAAATGTCTGGTGTGTTCCCTATCAAATACACGACCACAATAATTAGATTGTAGTTACAATATAAATGATAAAGAAATATAAGCCTACGTAGTTCATAAGAATTCTAAATTACAACCTTACATTCATTCCAGAGTAATAAACTAATGCAAAAAGAAGCCATCTTTACCTCAGAATTTTCATGAATATAACAAGATATTTCATCTCTTTTTATGGCTAAAGACAACATACGTTTTATAGTTTATATTAACATGTAGAAAGTCGACTTGAAACTGAGGAAAATGTTATAATTTAAAATGAAGCAGCTAAGAGAACTTCTAAAAGGCAATTGCCTTCCCTACCCTCAAAATCAAAAGTGCTACCATTTTGAAGGGAAGGGAGTTACAAGAAAAAGCTACCAACTTGATATTTTCTTTTGGCTGTAGGCTTCAACGGGCATTCTAGAAGACCACCAAATATTGCACCTCGAGTATCTCCAACAATCTAGAACAAATAACTACAGTTTTAGCATGTAAAAGTGCCATCATCAGTGAAACTCATACAGTCATCGGATAACATACCAGTAAACAAGGGCCAGAAAGATCGTGGCTCTTGCGAATAAGAGTTTGAAGAGATATACCATGCTTCATCGTACTGCCCTTCATATGAAATGTAATAAATCGCATCACAGATCAAATATAAACCTAAAATGTTAATTCATTATGGGACAAAGCTAAAATATTTCAGCTGAACTACCTGTACAGTAAGACCCATTGGCACCCTTTCACAATGTTGGGTAGACAACATCCCAGGAAATCATACAAGTCTGCAGTGATAAAGGCCGACTCATCCATGATGTCTGGTAAGGGGTTTCTTGGGGTAGGGCGCTCCATAGCCTCTTCAAATACATCTGAACTAGAATTGCTGTTTCCAGATGGCGGGTCATCATCAACGCCAAGTTCATTCAGTTTTACCTTCTCATGTGCTGAACCGCAAACCTTAGTTTCTCCCTGATTATGAGGTATTTCTTCAGCCTTGCATAGTATACTACATTCTAAAAAAGCATCAGACCCTTCCTCCTGGAAATCGTTGTTTGCATCACTATATCGAACTGAGGGAGTTTGAACTGCATTGGTATCTTGACGAGAATCAGTGGGTTTAGATCCATGTTTGGAAGGGATTATTAAGGACAAATATGAAGACAGTGATTTTCTTCCTTTCGACGGCCTAACCTACATAATTAAAACCATGTCACAAGCCAACATGGAACCAAATTCACAAATGAATCTGACGGAGAAAAGGAGACAAGGCATGAAGATCAAAACCTCTAATCATATACTAGTTTCGCCTATCAAGCAGTTATGGAGCTCAATACTAGGGGATGGAGGAACTGAAGTAACTAAGCCTAAGCCATATACTAGCAACTTGTAAGTTAAAATTCACAAAACCTTTGATTCTGTTATCTCAGCCTCAGGCCTGTTACCATTTCAAGCACCCAAGCCATTGCAATTTTGTATGGGGAAAAAACCCCAAAAAACTACAAAATGTGAATCAAATATCAAGAACACTTCAAGAAACGCAAGGCCTTAAATACCTCAAACATAATTCCTCCTGAGTCATATATCTCGTTTCCTATGAATACTTGGACCCATGAGGACATTAATACTAAAGAGTACACAGACATTGTGGTCTGTGGCAGCCCTTCTTCAAAGCCCTAGATGAAATCATTAATCCCATTTTCAAATAACTCACAAAACGCCGAATGCCAAATTGCACAATCTCTATAAAGCACACAAAACCTTCCAGCATATCATTCAATCGAAAAACATCACAAACAATCGCACAAACAAGCTATCAAACAGAAGACAAAAACGAAGAACCTGAGTATGAGGATCAGGCGGCAGCGATTTAGGAGGATCCGAGCTAGTGGAATAGGAGAAGAGGCTGGAGAACCTCCCGTAGAATTTCTCCCTCAACGCATGCATTTTGGTCAAACAAAAAAATATCAAAATGAAAAAAGGGTAATCGATTGAACTTTCAAGCTGGGGTTTCTTCGACCTTCAAGCTTCTGTGTGTTGTTCAAGCTTTGGGTATGGATTCCCCATGTTTGAAGAAATGAAGAAGATATAGAAGGAAGCGAAGGCGGCCGGTGGAAGAGACAGAGGGATGGCGTGTGGTAATGAATCACTCCCGAAACCGCAATCGGTTGCAGAAGACAGAAAGGAACTGATAAATTATGGAAGGAGGAGACGAGAGATTCTCTGTCAAAGATTTTCACACTCGGCGTTTCGCGCTGTTTTTGAAACGTCTTTGCCATTTGGCTTTCGCATATTCCAATTTAGCATCCTCAAATTATAATTTTTATATTTAATAGATTTTCCTACTTTTAAAATGGTTAAAAAAAAAAAACTTTTAATGTTATTTCTAATATATATATATATATATATATATATATACATAGATTGTTTATATTATCTTCTCCGGGCTTTCTCTTCCGGACTTTGCCTTAAGGTTTTAAAATGCATTTGGAGCCAGCATCCTCGCTGACACACCACTTGATATTTGGCTCTAATACCATTTGTAACAACTCAAACCTACTACTACAAGATATTTTATACTTGGTGTCTGACTCTGATACCATTTGTAATAACTCAAACCTACTACTACCAGATATTTTTCACTCGGTGTCTAGCTCTGATACTATTTGTAACAGCTCAAACCTACTACTACAAGGTATTTTTTGCTTTTGTCCATTACGTATCATCATTGACCTCACGGTTTTAAACACAGGTAAGGAAAGTTTCTATACCCTTATAAGAAATGTTTCGCTCACATATCCAACCGATGTAGACTATCACAATATTCAAAAAGAACAAATCTACTGGCGGTGGACTTGAGCTGGTACAATAAATACACATATATAAGGTTCATATACGCAGATAATACTCTACTCATGTTACCATATAAATAAAATTATTATTTTCGAAAAATTCCAAACAAAGTAGTAAGAAAAATAACCATATAATTAAATATATATTTATTTGATTATCGCGTAATTTTATTTATTTTTTTGGCACAAAATGCGTGAGGGAGGCGAATCTTTAGTATTTTTCATGGGCCAATAGGGCCCACTAAAATATGGGCCTACTTCGGGCTGGATCTGAGCTGGCTGTTCGAACATTTTCGACCATTGGAATAAAACTAAAGAATTGTTCGCAAAACCATTGATCAATCATTTCAAAAGCAGTTTTTTGTTCATACTTTTCAAATTTCCTACAAATAATTATGCCCTGATTATTCGTAAAAAAATGACTTCGATCATTTTCGAGCAATGACGACATCATTTCATCCCTGTAAAGGATGCAAGCGTTATCTAAAGTGATCATGCGTAAAACGTATGTAAATAACTTTCTGTTTAAGCTTGTCACGCGTAGGATCTAACTTATGACCATGACACTCGTCTATAGGTCAATTTGATCATAAGTTAGTGGATAGAACCTTAATTATAGGAAAAAAAGGACTCGATAAGCCCACCTCAGTATTTAATTATTAAACCAATCCACAACACTTACTAGGTATCAACTAATCTTCAAACCCACCTCGGTATTTAACTATTAAACTGATCCACAACACTTACTAGGTATCAACTAATCTTAAAACTCACCTCGGTTTTTAACTATTAAACCAATTCGCAACATTTACTAAGTATCTACTAATCTTCAAGCCCACCGAGCCCACCTCTGTATTTAACTAAACTGATCCACAACAGTTATTAGGTATCCACTAATCTTCAAGCCAACCTCGGTATTTAACCATTGAACTGATCCATAGTAGTTACTAGGCATCCACTAATCTTCAAGCCCACCTTGGTATTTAACTATTAAACTGATCCATAGGAGTTACTAAGTATCCACTAATCTTCAAGTCCACCTCAACATTTAACTTTAAACCGATCCACAACCATTACTAGGTGTCCACTAATCTTTAATCTCACCTCAGTATTTAACTATTAAATCGATCCACGATAATTACCAAGTATCCACTTATCTTCAAGCTCCCCTAGTTATTTAACTATTAAACCAATCTACAACCGTTACTAAATAACCACTAATCTTGAACGCACATGCAAATAATATATTAATATCGTTTTAGGATTAAACTCATTTAATCACATGGAATTTGGCATAACATAGTACAAATGTAACAAACAATGCTTAAAATAATGGAAATCACTACTCTTCCCTTACCAAACACCCAGAATTCTGTATTTTTAATTCTACATTTTGTTCTCATTCTCCGTGGAGACCTTAAAACTTCCGTACTTTAATGGGGTTTGGGTTCACCATTTCAGTATCTCAATAAAAATGACATTTCCCCCCAACTTTTTCCTTCTCCCCAAGTTTCAGTTTCTGAGTGGGGACTGAAGAGGAAAAAGATTCCCCTCTCTCTCATCTGCACATTTTAGAGAGAGAGAGAGAGAGAGGTAGGCTTTGAAATGGACTAACCCTCCATTTTTCTTCAGATTCAACCAAAACCCATCTCTCAAATCCGAGAAATGTTCCATTGAAATCGAAATCTTCACATGATTTGAGGCATTAAAGAGGAAATCCCAGATGGGTTCTTACTCCAAACCCTTCTTGTTCTTCTTGTTCTTCCTTGTATTCCTTGTTTATGTTGCTTGTTTGGTTGAATCTGGTTCTGATTACACCACTTTGGTCTACAAGGGCTGCGCCAAACAAGGATTCTCAGATCCAAATGGCGTTTATTCACAAGCCCTTGCTGCTCTGTTTGGCTCTTTAGTTTCACAATCTGCCAAAGGTTCAAAGTTTTACAAAACCACTTCCGGCACTGCCGGAACTGCCATCACTGGCCTCTTCCAGTGTCGAGGGGACCTCAGGAACTCCGATTGCTATAACTGTGTAAGTAAGCTCCCGGAATTGGCTGATAGTCTGTGCGGCAGAACCATTGCCGCTAGAGTTCAGCTGTCGGGCTGCTATTTGGTGTATGAGTTTCCTGGGTTTGCTCAGATTTCAGGGTTTGAAATGCTGTATAAAACTTGTGGGGCTACGAACATTGCTGGAAGTGGGTTTGAGGAGAGGAGGGACACGGGTTTGTCGGTGTTGGAGAATGGCGTGGTGAGTGGCCATGGGTTTTACACTACTAACTATCAATCTCTGTATGTGTTGGCGCAATGTGAGGGAGATTTGGGGGATTCGGATTGTGGTGAGTGTGTGAAGCATGCTGTCCAGAGAGCTCAGGTTGAATGTGGGAGTTCAATTTCAGGGCAAGTTTATTTGTATAGGTGCTTCATCAGCTACAGTTACTACCCAAATGGGGTTCCTACGAGATCGTCCACTCCCTCGTCTTCTTCTTCTTCATCATATTCTTCATCTCCATCAGGTAAAAACCCAGAAACTCCCCATCTGACTCTATAAATCTCAAACTAAGCACAGGTTTCTGCAACTCATTATTCTAGGAAATCTACTTTGAGGATTGTTAGGGGAGTCTCATATTGGCTAATTAAGGAGTAATTAAGGAGTGGGGAGGGTGTTCAAGGGCTTCATAGGTCTTAGAGGAGGCTCTATGGTAGAGGGGAGAATTGTTGAGAAAGAGTCTTACATCGTCTAAGTAAGAGTCAATCATGAGTCTATAAATAAAGAATACTATCTCCATTGGAATGAAGTCTTTTGGAAACCAAAATCAAATCCATGAGAGTTTATGCTCAAAGTGGAGTCGTGGTTCCCTAACCATCTAAACAGAGACTAGATAAACTTATACCACCAGAGCTAACGAAACATTTCCTGAAGGAGCTCATTCTCATTACGGATAAAAGAGGGCATTGAGTTTTGTTTTCTTCTCATTCTTTGAAACTGAACTAAACTTGTTATGGTAGACTTTTCTGCAACTGTGGTAATATGAAAGGTTACATTTGGTGTTAGGGATGGGGCAAAACACAGGGAAGACAGTGGCAGTGATATTAGGAGGGGCAGCAGGAGTGGGATTTGTGGTCATGTTCTTGCTTTTCATCAGAGGTTTGAAGAAGAAACATGATGGTATGCATCAAAACATGGGTTTGATTCAATTTTGTGCCGTTTTTGCTCGCAAAACTTCCATTGATTCATTGACTTCATCTTCTATCTGCAGATTATTGATGCAGGGGAAAGAGTGAATGTTCTACTGAGGTGAAAAAGAATCAAATCGCTTTGATCTCCTTTTGCTTTTGTTTTAGAAAGATAATGTGTTCTTGTGGGGACTTGGATTTTTTTGGGTTGACAAAGACGGTTCATTCCACTGGGGTCAGAAGCTTTTCCTGAGAAGAGAAGAAGGAATCAATGCATGGAAGGAATGAAAGATACAAAAAAAAAATCAAAACTGAAGGAGAAGTGAAGAATGTTTTTTCTTTTTTTCTTTGTTTTTTTTGGTGTATGTTATATATATTTTTTATTTAAAAAATATATAATTATTGCTTCCTTTTCAGCCATGTGGGTGTTTTGTCTCTTTTCTCTTATCTCCAGAATCTGGTTTTATCTTCCTAACCCAAATCTTATATGTTTTTTTTTATAAAAAAAAAAAAGCTGCTAGCTTTAGGATTTCATCTCCATACCATCGCTAGGAACTTAGTTCACAACCTTTGACTACTTGGTCGAGCTACAAAGAGTTAATATTTCTATTATATTTAATAAATTAGTGAATTTTTAACACCTTAAAAAAAAAAGATGCAACATTGAAGACCTGGGATATTAGAGCATGTACAATCGTTAGTTATACTTGCAGTTCAGAATATTTCCAAACAAGCTCAAAACTACAAATTTGAAACTTTTTTTTTTAAAAGGGTCTTATAAACTTCTGGAGAAATCAGAGCTATCCTCAGCAGAAACCCAATTGAAAAAAAAATGCATACCTCAAACTTGGCCCATTACATTTGACTAGCGAGCAAATTTCTCCAATTCTGCACAAACTTCAAAACAGAGGCATAAAAAAGACTAGAAATTGCTTAAGGTAGGAGGAAAGGGAAACAGCAGCACATCATAATTCTGCTAGAACAAACTGGTTTCACTGTTCTCAGTCAGTGAACATGTATGGATTGTCAGAATTGAACAAAGAAATATGGTCACATCCCATGTTCAGACCATTCAGAGATGCTATAATTTCAGAAAGTCAATGTTGTTTGGAATCGGGTTTCAAATTACAAAAGTTTGCAGATAAAACAACAAAATCATATATAGAAAGTAGCATCCAACAGATAGGTACCAAGTAGGAAACAAAAAAAAAAAAGGAAGGATGGGTTGTAGAGTAACCCAGTAAGGAGAGGATTTGAAAAGCTGTTCTGTTAATTTTGAGCCAAATTCTAACAAAAAGAACTCAACAGCTTGTCTGAGGGAAAATAATGACCCAAACTCAATCATCCTAATGAGCTTTATTTCTTAGGAACCTGAAAATGAGAACATAAGAACAAAGTAAATCTGGCCAATCAATCTGTAGCTCCATTTTATGGCTGCAACATCTAACAAGATCCACAACGCCAGTTCATGAAAGACGAATAATGAAGCAAAACAGTCAATTGTAGAGCATGAAAAAAATTATGTTTATTTTCTGCTGATTTCTGAGCATCAAGCAATTTCTCACAGGAAACAAACATAAAATAAGTTTACAACAGCTATCAAGAGTTTTATGAGAAGAAAATTCAATTGATTCTGAATTCCATTCATATAATTTTGCAACACAAACTCTAACTCTCTAAAACCTCAGTCTCTAAACCCACTCAAATGAAAAGAGGAACGGCATTGTACGCCATCCACATTCCACAATCAAATTCGATCCAAAACCCATAGAAAACCCTAAACAGCAACAACATCATCGAGTAGCCTTAACCTGAAGCCCTCAAGTAAATCATTTAGGAGCAGCAGTGGCCGGAGTACCAAGTAGACTCGCCTGCTGCATCTCGAGCTCATTGAACTGCTGCTCGCGATCCATCTCAATGATGAGCGGCACCACCAAAATGAGAAAAGTCGTCCCTGCAATCCACGCAGCTTTACCAGTACTACGGAGGAGTTTTTGGGTAACGAAGGCAGCGTCGGAAGCTGTGCTCTTCGCCCGCCGGACGATTTGGGAATCGGAGACGGAACGAGAAACCCTAGATAGAACGCCTAAATTCTCATCGCCATCGGTAATAGAAGGCCGCTTATTACCTCGAGACGCCATGAAAGGATACCGAACAGGAATTTGAAGCAGTGGAAGGAAGAATCGATGTGATCTAATAGATACACTGATCGCTTTCTCAACAGAGAGAGCTGAAAAAATTGAAACGAAAAATGAATTTAGGGTTTTGGATGAATGTCTGAAAATTTTGGGAAAATCTCTTATTTCTAGGACGTTTGGATCTTGAAAAAAAAAACAACCCAATAGAGAAGTCTACAAGAAGCCCAATTTCAAACTTGATAGGCCCATTACAATTAATTTTAAAAAATATAATAACCTTAAACTTAAATATATATATATAAACGCTTAATACTTTATTTAAAAATAGCCTTATAGAGTGTTATTAATATCTTTCGCTTATGCTCAAAGTGGCCAATATCATACCATTATGGAGATTCGTGTTCATCTAACATAGTATCAGAGTCATGCCTTAAACTCTAAAATGTCGGACGAAGGACTCTAAAAGAAAAGGAGTCGAGCCTCGATTAAGGGGCGGTGTTGTTTGGCCAATTAATTTTGTCAAATTTTAAATAAATGAAAATTTGCAAATACTTAATTTTATAAAGCATTTTAAATTATTTATTCTCGATAACATTTTTAACCTTTGGAATGTAATGTAAAATAAATAAATATTTTACACAAAAAGAAAAGTAAAAATTACAAAATAATTGGAATTCATAAGACCAATCAAAATGTGCCACGTCAGCAGCCAAATTTAGTTAATTTCCTGTCGGCCCTCCCCTGTTTTGACGAGGTTAACACTCGAATTTGACTAAAAATAAAGAAAATAAAACGAAATTCTCCGTTCCTGTCGGCCCTCCCCTGCTTTTGGTTTCTACTTCCCTAACAAAACAGGGGAGGTTATCACAAATTCTTCCTTTCCTTCCTCTTTTTCGGATTTTCCCCTTTAATGCTCTCCCCTCCACCCTCCTCCGAGGGGAGGAGCCGTTGAGCCGGTCCCACCACTCTCCGCCGTCGATCTAGCCACTTTCCCCAACGCCCAACCCTTCCCAACCATGTCGATATTGAACCCATTTCAGCTTCTAGAGCTGAATCTAATCTCCGCTCAGGATTTGGCACCGGTATCTCGTTCGATGAGAACCTACGCCATCGCCTCGGTTCACCCTGACCGGAAACTCTCTACCCGCGTCGACACTCACGGCCACAACAACCCAACGTGGAACGACAAGTTCGTGTTCCGCGTTGACGACGAGTTCTTACATTCCGACACATCGGCGGTGATGATTGAAATCTACGCCTTGCATTGGTTTAAAGACATTCATGTTGGGACTGTTCGGATTCTTGTTGGGAATCTCATCCCTACTCCGCCGCGATTACACCAGTTTAGTCAGCAGCCGCAAGTCGGGATGCGGTTTGTTGCTTTACAGGTCCGGCGGCCGTCAGGGAGGCCGCAGGGGATTTTGAATATTGGGGTTGCTCTGCTTCATAGCTCGATGAGGAGTATGCCGTTGTACTCGCACTTGAGTACCTCGGCGATTGGGTACCGGAATCTAATGGGGGAGGAGGACCCATTTAGCAATCACCATGGGACTCCCACGGTTGTCAAGTGGCCGGAGTTCCGGCGGTCGAAGAGCGATATTAGTTCCATGGTGGGGTCGGCGGTTCGAAGCTCGGAAATGCTGGGAAAGGGAGCAAAATCCAGAGCAAGCTCTATGGTGAATGGGTCGGAGATTACGCGGAAGAACAAGAAAAAGGGGAGATCCAAATCAAGCTCGATGATCAGTGGGTCCATTACGATCAGAAGAAGAGAGAAACCCAGGAAGGCTAATTCGATGATCAGTGGGTCAAGCTCTGCAATGGTAACCAAGAGGGAAAAAATCAAACAATCCAGCATTTTAAGCGGCTCTGAAGTTTACCCGGAGCCACCGCCGGAAAAACCAGTCCAGAAAATGAATCCCGGCGACTCTCCGGCATGGAAAAAGCCATCCCAAGAGAAAACCATTTCGAAACAGGGTCAAGAAACGCCGAATTCGAGGTTCGATAAAATGCCTTACGCGACGCCGCTCAGGACTCCACAGAGGCTGACCGGCGGTGGCGGCGGTGGTACTGCCAGAGCAACACCAATGCACGAGAAATATGCGACGCCGAGAAGATCAACGCCGATGAACGGGAAATCATCTTACCATAGACACAACGAATTTACCTATACAACGCCGAGGAAATCGTTTTTAGGCGGCGCGTTTTTGACGGAATCGACGCTTGGTCCGTCACCGTCGGAGGTAGCTGCACAAATGGCGACGCAGAAAACCGACGACAGCAACGAAAGCTCGATTGTTGGTGGGATGAGCCTAAACGATAGCGTTGAGGGTCTACAGTCGAAGCTGGAGCGGTGGCGGACAGATCTTCCACCGGTGTACGACCGCGGCGAGATTACAAGCTTTCCGCCGAGCGAAGACCATCCCGAACGCCGTCATAGCGACGGCGGCAGTTTATTTTCTTGTTTCAGCAACATTTGCGGCTGCGAATGCTCCATAGTCTGCGGCGGATCGCCAAAGACATCGAAGAAACCCGCCAACGGCCGTGTTACCCGTAGCCCGTCGGCAGGCCATTTGAGCATCACGTAAAAAAAATGGTTAGAAGACGAACTGGCCAAGGTCGGGTTGAACCCAACCGGCCCGCACCGAATTAAAATCAAACCGTAACGTAACAAAACGCATCGTTTAATTTTTGAAAAAGACAAGTTTGACCCTACAGGATAAGGAGGAAAGACAATTTAGAGAGACAGCCAGGCAGTGTCAGTCACGTCAATCTACAATACGCCATTCTTTCTCTAAACTTGTTTTGGATTTTTTATTTTTTATTTTTTATTTCTTAAATTTCTAATAAATAAAAAAAAATACTTTAAATCTAAAACAAAATGGGAAAGAAATTTTACTTCATTTTTTTTTTTAACAAATGTAATTGGATTGATTTGTGAATATTTTGTTTATTTTAATGGAACCATTTGTTCATATATTCATGATCTCTCTATTTTTATGTGTATTCATTTTATTATTCTTCAATAAATAATAATAATATAACATATAATTCTACTTGTGTTCTTGCATTTTCAAATCAATTTTAATTTCTTTAAATTCTAGTAGTGAATTTGTTAAATTCGGATTTTTTTATTTATGAATGATATAAATTAGATTAAAGAAAATTATGAAATTTCTAGAATAAAAACATTTAAAATTTAAAATTTATTTGATTTAACGTGACAAACTCCTATTCTATTATATGACTCAAAATGTTTTTGGTTTACAAGTCCTTGGAACCCTCAATCACAATCTCAAGCTAAGTCCTTAAAGGGAAAGTCCAGGATTTGACTATTACAAATGATATTAAAGCTACACTTTAAGTGAACCAATGAGGATACTGGGACTCCAACCCCCGATTCATGAAGGGTATAATTTATATACCTTGTCTCCACATTGGATCAAGAACAAGATTAGAAGGATAAAAAACAACTAATTCGTATAGAGTCATTGAACCAGCCCAACCAGCAACTAGAGCTGTATGCATTATATGAACAGAAAGAAAATAATCGGGATCATTTAATACAACCGTATGAACACGATACCAAGGCAAATCAATGAGGATGTTGGATCCACTCTGGATCCTCCGTCGATTGGAGAGAATAACGAAACATTCTTTATTCAAAATTTCTTATTGGTTCGAAAAAATTTTATACCGTAGAAAATAAATCTAATTTATGTTTTTTTTTTTTTTTTTTGAATTTCACTTTGCATGCTTATCGTTATTATTATGATATAGGTAAAAAAAGGTGAATTTACTTTAAATTTCTATCAAATTACGACGGTTAAAAAATGTATAATTATTGTCAAATATATTGTAATAATCAAAGCGAAAATACTCCAAACTTACTTTTCCCATATTCATGCTTTGTCGGTAGCAATCGACAAAGATTAAAAATAATAAATAAATCTAATTACTATTTATTAAAATAATTAAATTATGACTAATATAAAACGAGTATTAAATTTTATATTTATATATAATAACAGTATTTTAATTTATATCAAATAGACATTAAAAAATTTAAAATATATAATAAAAATTTAAATTTAATTATATATATATATATATATTAATTTTAGAAGAGAGTAACTAATTTTACGAAAAATAATGGCCTTTTTTTTTTAATTAAAAAAAATGTCAAATGAAAGAGGGAAAAGTGGTGCCACCTGTCTACTTTTTAATACTGTCGGCTGACGTGGCCTCCAGGGAGGCATTCGCCCACGTGATTGGCCCCCACCTGTCCCCTGTTTCCTTCCATTTACCAACTATTTTTACTCCCAGTTAAATTATAAATTTAATTTTATAAATAAAAAAAATGTTAAATTACCGATTTAGTTGATAAACTTTTAAATGTAATTAATATATTTTTTTAGTTATTTTTTGCTTTATGTATCTTTAACTGAATTCTATTTTTTTTTTAAATTAATTGATGAATATATAATTTTAATTTTATTCTAATCTAGTAAATTCATTAAAAAAATTTAAAAGATATATACTAAATAAACACAAAATTAATTTTTTTTGCCTTTATTGATTCATTAGCGTTTAATAAATAAATAAATAAATAATTAATTAACTTATAAATAGTTTATTCTTTTATTTATCAAATGAAAATATTTTCAATAACCATAAAAGTTTAGCATAACAGCTGTCCAATTAAAATAAAAAAAAAATAGCTTTAAAAACAAAAGTAATAAATAGTTTAGTCATTTTTAAAATTTTATTTTAAAGGGTATTAAAATTTTAAATACTTTTTTAAATGGCTATTTAAATGAATTTATTTTGGACATCTAACTTTAATATTATTATAATTATTTGTCTTGAAAATAGTAGACAGCATAAAGGTATAAAGCAAAGAAGAATAAAGTACAAAGAATTAAAATATGCCTTTTACTGCTAAAAAGAAAACATTTTTTAAGACCTTAATTATTACTATAATTAATATTAATTACAATGAAATGTGTGTCAATAAAAGTATATATATATATATATATATTTTCTATTTTGAGTATGGTTTTAAAATTATTTCTAGAAGTATTTTCCAAATAAATAAATAAATAAACATGATTTTTTTTTTACAGTCGAGCGTTGCAATACGACGATTATAAAATAAAATAAGGAATTAAAACATAATTTTATTCTTTAATAATTATGACGTTTTCATTTGTTGCCCAACTCCACTGCATATATTGTTCTCTCTGAGTTTTCATATCAAGAGTTCCTCAAAATTTTAAAGCGTTGTTTACTTGACAGAGGTTTTCACACTCTTATAAGAAATATTCCGTTTTCAACTCTAATCGACGTGTGATCTCACAATCCACCCCCTCTTAGAGGCTTGGAGTCCTTGCTGGCCCACCGCTCAATGTCTGACTCCGATACAATTTGTAACAGTTAAATCTCACTGCTAGCAAATATTGTTCGCTTTTGTTCGTTACGTATCACCGTTAATTTCGTGGTTTTAAAATACGTCTACTAAAGAGATGTTACGATAAGAAATTATTTGTTTCCCACTCTAACAAATATAAATAGTCATTTTTTTTCGATATCTTATTAAAAAAATGAAATGATTTAGCATGATACTAATTAAGACCAAAAGCCTATGAAAAATGAGACAAAATCCAATTATATCTAATTATACACAACTTAATTATTAGAGGAAAAAAAAAAGATTGCAATAAGAACCACACCAATTTTAAAATTTTTGTTTATTTATTTTTTTGATAAAGGAGTTGAGACTTATTTGATCGGGATTCGAATCTTAGATTCGAGGTATTTTTGAAAGTTTAAGAGTATTATTGAAGCTTTTGAAAAATTCGAGGTATTGCACTCGATACTCTCTGAAGTGCTAAGTTAGGCTGGATGTATTCACTATACAAATATATTAATATGCATGCTGGAGAGTTCGATATTGTTAAAGAAGCATATTCATTTGATTCTATCGAGACTTGAACTCGGGTGGATAAAATGAAAATTTTAAAATTAATTATTGGAATATAAAGGTTAAATGAAATGTTTTGTTATTAATTAATGGGTTTGTTAGAATAAAGGAATATGATTGTTGTCGGGGAAAAGAGGAAGCATGGATTACTGGTATGAGTGGTAGGCGCACCACCAGACATCCTGACCCCATCGCTTCTTCTCTCTGTGCTCTGTTTTTCATCCTTTCCTCTGTTTTTCAATACCTTCTTAATCCCCTCCCCTTCTTCCATTCTCTCTAACCTTCCCTTTCTAATTCTCTGTTTCTTCAATGGAATGTACTTTGGGCCTTTTCCGCACTTCTGGCGTTGGTGGGTCTGTTTCTGGGTCCGCCATTAACGACCCCAATGAGCCTAGAATGAAGATTTTTGAGAAAGATTTTGTGGGTAAGATTCCGATTGAGCCGTCTCCTTGTCCTGCCTCCTCTGGCCTTGAATTGGGCCTTGGTTTAGCCGTTGGCGGCTGCGGGAAGGTTAGCGGTGGTACTTGGGGTGAGCGTGGTCGGATTTTGACTGCTCGGGATTTCCCTGTTCTTGGTGGCTCTTCTGTTTCTTCTTGTTCTTCCTCTTCTTGTTTCCATGGAAGAGAGGGTAATGGTTCTGTTGCTGTTTCTGGGACTAAACGAGCTGCTGATTCTGCTCCTAATGATGGAGGATCCCCCACTGCTCTCAAGTTAGTTCTGATTATCCCCTTTTGTTTGTTCTTATAGCTATAAATTTACTGAAATTAAGATTGCTGTAAGAGAGTACGCGTTAGCTAATTTAGGGAATGATTATACGTTTATAAGGAATACTATCTCCATTGGTATGAGACCTTTTGGGGAAGCCTTAAGCAAACCCATGAGAGCTTATGCTCAAAGTGAACAATATTATGCCATTGTGGAGGTTCGTGATTACTAACATAGTATTAGAATCATGCCCTTAACTTAGATATGTCAATAGAATCCTCAAATGTCAGAACAAAGAAATTGCTAGCCTCGAAAGTGTAGTCAAAAGTTCGAACAAATGGTGTACTTTGTCAGAGTGCTCCAAAGAAAGGAGTCGAGCCTCAATTAAGGGGAGGTTGTTCGAGGGCTACATAGACCTCAGGGGAGGCACTATGGTGTACTTTGTTCGAGGGGAGGATTGTTGAGGATGGTTAGGAATGCATCTCCAATAGTATGAGGCATTTTGGGGAAACCAAAAGCAAAACCATGAGAGCTATTGCTCAAAGTGGACAATATCATGTCATTGTAGAGGTTTGTGATTCCTAACATGGTATCAAACTTAGCCATGTCAACAGAATTCTCAAGTGTCGAACAAAGAAATTGCTAGCCTCGAAGGTGTAGTCAAGAGTGACTCTGTGTCGAACAAATGGTGTACTTTGTTCGAGGGCTCTAGAGAAAGGAGTCGAGTCTCAACTAAGGGGAGGCTGTTCGAGGGCTACATAGACTTCAGGAGAGGCTCTATAGTGTACTTTGTTCGAGAGGAGGATTGTTGAGGATGATTAGGAATATATCTCTATTGATATGAGGCCTTTTGGGGAAACCAGAAGCAAAACCACGAGAGCTTATGCTCAAAGTGGACAATATCATACCATTGTGAAGAGCCGTGATTCCTAACTGGAAAAACGATGGATTAATTTAGACTTTTGAGTCCTTTTCTGATGAGCTTGTTGTAAATGTTTGTTTGAAAATGGAAGCAGTCAGGTTGTGGGATGGCCACCCATTAGGACATACAGGATGAACAGCTTGGTGAACCAAGCAAAGACAGCCAGGGCTGAGGAAGATGAGCAGTCCAAGGACAACAAAGCATGTGATGTTGATGGAAAAGGGCACCTAGGATTTGTCAAAGTGAATGTCGATGGGGTTGTCATAGGGAGGAAAGTGGATATCAATGCCCATTCTTGCTATGAGACCTTGGCCCTTATGCTGGAGGACATGTTTTTCAAGTCCAATGGTTAGCTCTTGAAATTTCCAGGAACAAATATCTTCATTTTTTGCTTTGATTTATTTGTATGGTCATGGTGTTCTTCAGGGAAAAGTGGAGACAAAGAACAAGGACAGAAACTGTCTAAGCTTTTGGATGGATCCTCTGAGTTTGTGCTTACATATGAAGATAGAGAGGGGGATTGGATGCTTGTTGGAGATGTCCCTTGGAGGTATGTTTCTTTGTAGTCTAGATCTAATATCTATGTTGAGTTATGATCAGCTGTATCGATGCCCGGATGCACGGTTTTGACTCTTGGTTCTAAAATCTTGCTAACTTTTTTAAGAACGGAGAAAAAAGTTGAGCTAGTTTGATGAAAATTGGCATACTTAAGTTCCCTTTTAGTTCATGGAGTTCAGTCTATTGTGTCTTACGAACGAGGAAGATAACTTACTAAATGGTTCGAGATTTGAGAGGAACGTTTATGTATCTGATCTCAATTGTCTAGATCAATGCATTGTTGGCTCTTGTTTCTAAAAGTCTTGTTATGTTTTAAACATTTGAACTGTGTCCCTGTGATGTCCCACATTGGTTGGAGAGGAGAACAAAACACCTTTTATAAGGATGTGGAAACCTTCCCCTAACATACGCGTTTTAAAGCTTTGAGGGAAAGCTCAAAAAGGACAATATCGGCTAGTGGTGGGTCTGGGTTGTTAGAGTTCCACTTTTATGTTGTTCTTACAATAAGTTCATGACTTTCATTGATTAGGATGTTTTTGAGCTCTGTTCGAAGGCTTCGTATAATGAGGACGTCCGAAGCCAATGGACTAGGTATTCAATAAGCTCTTCCTGCACTCGATTTCCTATCTTGTGCTCGTTTTACATGTTTCCTAAATCTAGCTTCATTGCAGCACCAAGATCTCAAGATAAGAAAGCGAAACAAAGGAGCAAGCCTATCTGAAAAACGCTACTATATGGCTCGGCTCGGGTACGTCCTAGATATACCCGAACGTGAAAAATGCACAGTTTGACTAGAGAAAAGAAGTAGAGAAGAGAATGAGAAATGGATTGCTGTGGTTTTTTGTTTCCTTGTTGGCTTTAGTTTTGGTGTTTTGGGGTTTTCTTTTGGGAGGCTTTATAGGCCATATGATTTAAGCCTGTAAAAGCTCTTACTATAGAGTGGTTACCATACAAAAGTGTATACTCTGGGTGGATGCTTTCTCATACTGTACATAAGGGAAAAACACTTTGATTGATATCTATGGAGCTTTGTTTGTTGCAATCTGCTGCTAAATGAGAAGTTTGTGGCTTTCAAGTTATTATTGTTGATAAGTTTGGGTTTGTTTTCGATAATGATATGTAATTGTTTACGATTGGTTGTGACAGGTGGTGTATACAAGGGCCTAGGTACATATTCACCACTGGCTGAGACGGGTGGTGTGTATAAGGATTTGGGTACATATTCACTACAACATGCTGATACGTGATTTCAATGATTCAAACTTTATATTCTTGAGTTGTAGAAAACAATTAGATCAGAGACAATCTCTCTGGATTCGCTCCACCTTACAACCTTTCTTTCCATTGTAATTGTCATTGTAGCATGCATCCGGCCCATAAAGGCCATACGTACTTGATGTCGATCTCCAACTTCCTCCCGTTTGAAAGACTATTCTGTATGGTTGGAGATGATGAAAACAAGAGAAAAAAGAGTCAATTCAATCCCAAGAGACTGTGCCAATATGATCTTTAATGAGGTGCGGGATTTTGCATCCCGAGACCCCATGTCCTCTCTTTCCTGACTGCAACCCAAGAAGTTGACTTTGCCAACACAACATTAGGGTCGTCCCTTTCATTCTATACTAACTAGGCCTCAGGTTGGCTCCAAAAAATCACACCATCTCTTTGTTAGAGTGAATAATTGGAAAATTAAATTCTAAGACAGAGGGATCGTACCATTTGAGTCTTTTTTCAAGCTTTTCTCGGAGGTCTAGAGAAAGATGCAAGGATTATCAATTAATATATTTGTTAAGACAGAGGCTTATATCATACTTAAAGCTAGAAGTTATCATCTGATCAATCTCGTGATGAAGAGATGTCTTTTCCAATCTTTCACTAAGAAAGTAACTAAGAAAATAAGGGATAATAAGTGAGCCTTTGAATGAAGGGTTAGCTCTTTCGATCCAAGTGACACGTTTCTACCTTTTAAATAGTAAAAAAATGCAAAAAATTATATTTTATTCTAAAAAAAATTCATCAGAGGAAATTTCAGCAAAAATTTATCAGAGTTGAAGCAATTCTGCAGCTCTCCCTGTTCCTCTTCATTCGAGTACTGAAGAGCTTGAAGGAAAGAACAAGATCAAATTCTAGTTCAATATTTTACACAGTAACCGTCGTCTCGAGCAACTCGACGAATTATACGTACCCGTTGAACAAAATCATTAGCTTTTGGCATTCAGTTTCTCAAGGAGGATTTTGTTTAGAAGCCCAGGATTTGCTTTACCTTTGGATGCTTTCATTACCTGCAAAAAGAGATTATTGTTTAAATATGTGAGTGAGGAAGAACAAGAACAAGAACGAGCAACGAGCAAGGGCGGATTTATGATCGTGGTAAATTAAGTTTTGACTAGGATTCGCCTTCACCTGGCCAGCAAAAAAGCCTTGCAGCTTGGTTTTGCCACCACGATATTGCTCGAGCTGCTTCGGATTCTCTGCCAATACTTTGTCCACCATTCTTTCTATCTCAGCAGGATCTGCAATCTGCCATTACAGAATAGCCAGAAATGAAGATCCTTTCGGTTCGTTATTCGTATCCTAGTGTCGTTATCAAGTAAAACTATGAACCAGATATCCATTGCCTTCATTCCTTTTAACAATTAGTCTAAGATATTCTAGTCCAAGGCTCAATCTTGTTATTGAATTACATAAACCTTGCTGAGGTTACTATGCTAGTATATCGTTTGAGAGAAACCGAGCTGCAATAGACCTGTTAAAAGCAAGAAGTGATGAACTACTTTCATTGAGCAATGCTACAATATGAATTATTCTCGAGTGGAAGTGCTTTAACCTCTTCTCTAGCCAGGCACAGGTAAAAGTCTAAAAAACAATCAATTTAGCCACTCAATATGGCAAGCTCAAGTAACATTAACATGAAAGATACTCGAAGTCAAGCCTATCGCTAGTAGATATTGTCTGTTTTGGCCTATTATGTGTCGTCGTCAGCTTTATGGTTTTAAAACGCGTCTACTAGGGAGAGGTTTTCCCTTTCCAACCGATGTGGAATCTCACAATCTACCCCCCTTGGGGCCCAACGTCCTCATTGGCACACCGCCTGATGTCTGGCTTTGATAGTGGAGCACGTGTGTTGTTATTAATTATGTAGAACAACCTGGATGGCGTCGATTCCAATTGTGTGAGATTACTTACTTTTATGGTATATGAGACAGACACTAGGCGGTCTACCAACGAGAGACGCTGGGTCCCAAAGGGGGTGGATTGTGAGATTCCACATTGGTTGGAGAGGGGGACAAAACATTTCTTACAAGCGTGTGAAAACCTCTACCTAGCAAACGCGTTTTAAAACCGTGAGGCTGACGGCGATTCATAACGGGCCGAAGTGGACAATATCTACTAGCGGTGGGATAAAGTTTTTACACAAGGCAATGAATTTTTTAGATTAAACAACTTACCTGAACCAAATCCTTTTCTTTAATCATCCCCTTTACAGTTCCACCTTTAGCTAGCAACTCGAAAAGAATCTATACAGCATACGAAAAGAAAATGCATCAATAAGAAATGTTAACATTTAAACTAGAACCAATCATCAAATTTAAGGTACCAGTAACACTTTGAAGAACATTTTAAAGAAGTCCTTATGCAAGAAAAAAAACTTACCTCTTTCCCGATCTTTCCGCTAATAGTACCGCCTTTTATCGAAGCGATCAATTCAGCAAGCTCTTGGGGAGTGAGCTTTATGTCATTTATAGCCAACTTCTCATTTTTCATGTAGGCAGCAATATCACCCATTATCCAATTGGCAGCCAGCTTCACTTCGGCCCCCCTTGCAATAGTTGCATCAAAAAACTCAGCCACCTACGATGTCATGCACCCAAAGTTACAGAGAAAGTGCAAAACTAATCAATTATTGAAAAGGAAAAACCATGGTACACAGCTTTGAAGAATTTTCATTTGAACTTTGGCTTGTTTTCCTTATAACTTTCCAGAACTCAAGGACACAAAGAACAATTCTTTAACAGCCCAAGCCCACCGCTAGCAGATATTGTCCTCTTTAGACTTTCCCTTTCGGGCTTCCTTCAAGGTTTTAAATTGTGTTTGCTAGGGAGAGGTTTCCACACCCTTATAAGGAATGTTTCGTTCTCCTCTCCAACCAATGTAGGAACTCACAATCCACCCCCTTGGGGGCCAGTGTCCTCGCTGGCACACCGCATGATGTCTGGCTCTGATACCATTTGTAACAGCTCAGGTCCACCGCTAATAGATATTGTCTTCTTTAGACTTTCCCTTCCGGGCTTCCCTTCAAGGTTTTAAAACACATTTTCTAGGTAGAGGTTTTCACACCCTTAAAAGGAATGTTTCGTTCTCCTCTCACAAACGTAATATAGGATCTCACAAAGGTAGGGAACTGGTAACAGCTAAGGGCATTCCTTCTAATTCAACTTAAAAGTACTTTTTTTTGCCTCTACTTGCTGCGAAAATTTGCTCCCTTCTTTTTAAGAAAACTCCTTTGAAGCCAGAAACTTCCCCTATCAAAGCTATTGCTCTCCCACCTTTCTACAAGGTGTTTTTAGAGTTAATCAAATGGTTGCCATTATAATAACTTCATATTATCCTTACCTTCAATTCCTTTTTACGCCATACTTACATTGCAATACCCAAAACCAACTTATTGAGTGCGTATAAATTCTCAGGTAACTCACACTAATGTCATTTGCCAGGAAAAGCACGTCCTGCATGCTCAGTCCCATACTCTCGTATCTTCTACGCTTCGTTTCGGGAAGTTCAGGCAAAGAATCACCGATATACTCAACGTATTCTTTTGTGAGGATACTTCTGGAAGATCAGGCTCTGGAAAATATCGATAATCAGAAAGTCCTTCCTTTTTCCTCATTGTAATTGTTTTCTAAGCAATAATACACAGGCGAGCACATGAGTTGACAATAATAAAAAGAAATCAGCATAAGTTATGCTGATGATACTCGAGTGTACGAAAAAAGTACGAAAAACCTGAGCGCCTTCTTCCCAGAGTCTGGTTTCCTGTACAATTTGATCACTTTGGCCTTGACTATGGAGAAGCACTTGTCTTGAAATTTCAAAATCAATTGCTCTGCTCACCGATGAAAATGAGTTCAAGTTTTTTATCTCCACCTGCAAATCAATGAGTGTGATTAAATATATAATAAGACTGCACAATGCAATTAGTTGGTTCTTGGTTGAAAGAAAGACAAACTTAATAGAAAACTCAAAGATCGTGAAGCCCGAATCCTCACATTTAGACTACCCCTTCACAAATAGTTCCTTTGTAAGGGCCCAAACCCACCGCGAGTAGATATTGTCTTCTTTGGGCTTTCCTTTCAAGTTTCCCCTCAAGTTTTTTGAAACGCGTCTACTATCTAGGGAGAGGTTTCCACGCCCTTATAAACAATGTTTCGTTCTCCTCCCCAATCAATGTAGGATCTCACATTCCACCCCCCTTCGGGGGCCCAGTGTCACGATCCTACATTTCTGACCGTGCGGCGTCGTGATCTTGACACGCTCACGACTAGCCTTGAGGGGAATTAAGCCCCATATATATTTTTTGTCCCGACTTTGTGGCTTCATCGGACCTTAGACGAGGTTTGTCTTCGCCAATCGAACCTTGCTTGTGCGAAATCCAAGTTTGTTCAACCACACACGCCTGTGTGTGCATGTTCAATTGTCTGTGACACGTCCGACTTGCCTCTACACTAGGCCAACTCATTCGGCTCGACCTTGCCTCTGCTCGGGCCAAGGTCTCTCAATATAACGTCGCATCTCATCTTGTCATCTCGAT